GTATAGTCAGTAATTTTTGCCGAATTTATGTAAATGTATTCGTGCATGTGTACACATCTAAACTTTTGTATACCGTACAACTAGCTCTCCACATATGTCAGTTCCTTAATTTAGAAACTGTACTTGTGGTCGATCTCGAACCACAATATAATACAGTATAATTTGATGTGACGACTTATAATGAATTTTGTAACTTACTTAGCTAAATGAATTGTGAGGTTCAGTCTCTGAGCCCATCATGTGCCTCTAACCCTTTCCACTACCGCCCACAAGATGGGTATGGGGTGCATAATAAATGAACTAAACTAACTACCGTACAACTTTAATGCCGATTTGCGTATCAGCTTGAAAACGCTTGTGTAAAAAGTTACAATTAGTTTCGATCTGATACTTGTGTATACAGGCAGAACAAAACGTCCAGCTGTCAGTGCGACTTATTGGGTCGGTGGAGCCTAACCAGGATGAGGTTAGGCTACCGTTACCCGTGGCAGGTGGCTACAACAGAAATGAGCGCTCCAATGTGTAAACTGAGCCAGAACACTCATTATCTTACGTTACATTAAGTATCTTCTCAGACCATTCAGACCTGTCTGCTGGTATGAGGTACCTGGAACTTCCGTAATATATGCATTCGGGTTTATGAGGATATCCTCATAATGCATATAAAGTTTGCAAGGCCAGACAGCTGATCGCATGCTCCGTTATGACTAACCATCCTACAAGGTGGAGATTTCTCGTAGCATTATCTAAACCTTCATATTGTCTATGGTAGTTGCATAAATGTCGACAGTGTTAAGACAAAAAATCAGCAAGCCAATACAGTTATCCGTATACTCGTTTTTATAATACTGCAAGTAAACATACATTCAAGTAATCTATAAATAGTCGCTTTAAGGATTTGTTGCAAACAAATGTTAAAATGTATAGAAAATAGTTTGTATTAAGTATTCTAATGTGGTTCCCAATATTTGTATAGGAGTTACATTATCTGGCTATATTTCAGCGTCATTTAATTACAAATACAGAAATATATATATTTTAGGATTTAAGCTGTGGCCTGGCCACCTCTGCATCTCCCCATTTCTTCACCAAAAACGAATTTTCCCACAAGAAATAATGTAAATTGAATTAATCCTTTCCACACCCCCAAAAATATTAGCTTGAAAATACATTTCATACCGAATAACACTACAATACTGTACTGTATGTTTATCTTACCTTGAATGAGGACTTGTTGGCGTATGGAAGACGATAAGGAGTGGCGTTACTGTTTGGAAGGGGACTCCCCTTCTATTATAACATCAGGCAGTGAGGAATTTCCTGGGGGCCTCCCCCTCCCCCCCTGCATGCCCTTTTCGATATGGAAGTGAATTACATGAAGGTAACTGCAGAAGACCTATTGGCCCATACGAGGCATAAGTTCCCGGAAAATTATTATTAACCGTCATGTGCTCTACGTACAGCCCTCCAGAGCGGCACGTCTCCCTCTAACATCCGCCTCTGTTTTTGTCGCCGCTCCTCTATCTCCAGCTCCTCGCGACCAGCACTTATCCTCAACATTCACGCGTCTCCTAACATCATTACTGGTGCAGTCACTGGGAGGACACGCCCTTCATGTAAACTGCACCTACTTTCAAGAACATGAAGCGTGCTACGCCCCGCGCCCCCAGCACCACGAATTCGTTCGACCCATACACGTACGAACAGTCGTCGTCTTTCAAGTAAACCGTCGTCTTCCAATTCAAATTTTACAACGAATTTGACGTGTTCCAAGAAATTCGCCTTCTAGGGCAGTCGTCAACTGAGGTTCCAGTGTAGTTTAGTTGAAGCAACAATTTTTAAAATGAATAACGTATTTGGGGCTTACTAATGTTTGTAGTTATATACAAAATGTTTCACAAAATATTTTATTAAGCATAATACTTACAATACTTTGCAAATGTAAAGTATAAATGATAATGACAGCATTTTAAAGGACGGGTTTGCAAAGCCTTGAGGCAGAAACCAAACCTTGTGTAGACAGGGTAGTGTAATGGAGGCAAGTTGTACGAGCAATCTTGAGGTTATCTCGAGATGATTTCGGGGCTTTTTTTTAGTGTCCCCGCGGCCCGGTCCTCGACCAGGCCTCCACCCCCAGGAAGCAGCCCGTGACAGCTGACTAACACCCAGGTACCTATTTTACTGCTAGGTAACAGGGGCATAGGGTGAAAAACTCTGCCCATTGTTTCTCGCCGGCGCCTGGGATCGAACCCAGGGCTACAGGATCACAAGTCCAGCGTGCTGTCCGCTCGGCCAGCATATTATTAAACTTCAAAACCTAACTCGCCACTGCTTAAATGAGAAGGCCGATGAAATTGCTAAATTGGCAATTCGTCATCCAGCGATACATGAAACAATCCAACCCAGCCTACAGTGCATAAAAACCACCGTCAACAAAAAACACCTCAACAACGCCCATCTACACCAGAGTACCAGAAGGTTCGCCCTCTGCAATATGGTATCTTCAGGCCACCAAGTTAGAAAGGTTAAATATCCCGAAAGGAATCCACAGGGAAATAGCAGTTCGGTTATATAGACAACGTCTAGATTACAGAGGCAACTGGGAGATTGGTGAACCCAGAAAGTGAGAATGCATCTTCTGGCAAACAATCACAGAAAAGCCACCACTCCACTATCTCCTGGAAGTGAAGCAACCAACGACCTTGGAAGAGTTAAGAGTCTCTGAATCTTGCAGTGACCACCCTGAAGCCATCAACACTGCCAGTCTTCTGGTCAAAAAAAAAGTTGTCCAGCAGCTGGACACCCTCAAACACTGTCAAGCAGTATCCTCCCCCGCGATAGCAGCCTGACGATTAAATGCCACCTCGGCACACAGTATACACTTACTGAACAAAAAATCTATCACTTACGGGCTATTCATGCCCGTGGCTCCTCTTGGGTGGCTTAATCTTCAAACTTTTTTTTTTTTTAACTTACGGGCTATTCATGCCTGTACCACCTTTGGAGATGCTTAATATTTATCAATCAGTCTTTGTTAATTCCTTATCCGCCTTGAGCAGAACAAGAGAAAACAGACCATACCTACCAGGAAGACAGCAGTCTGCAACACCGCGTCCCCACAAAGACCAAACCTTCTAGCCTAGCCTGCCTGGTGGAAGATGTCGAGTCAAATTTATGTTGAGCTGCTGGGTCAAGCCCCGGCTCGCTCTTGCAATCTATTGCTCGTTCCCTATACCCACTTCCCCGGACGCCCCTTGGGCATCTTGTCCTATATGCGATTCTATTCGATTCTCAACTCCTGTGTCTGATAACTCCCTTTAATATGTTTATTGTTTGTGATGTGTTTTATGTATTAACACGATGTACTGAACGGGGTGAGAATAGCTTGACCTACCTCATCCCTGTGTGTGTATTTTACCTCAAACTTATTTCAATTTCAATTTCTGGTACTTACTACGCGGATTTTCTAAATTGTTTTAATACATTTATTTTACCGAAAATCTATTGAGGTATATTTTTTTTTCTTTTTTTAATTTTAAGTTCAAAATTGACATGTTAATGAACCTTCACTCCGGTAAGTAATTTGACATTTGCAAGTCATTTCAGCAAGTGTTAGCTTAAGCTGTCACCGTTTTCATCATTACAAGTGCAAGCTACAATATGAAAACAAAACCTTACCCAGCTTAATAGTCTGAACATGCAACAGTCTTTAACATTGGAACTAGTCTGAACTAATTAAAAACCATACGCAGTTTATTTTTGTCTAAACCATTGAACACACCGTTCTTGGCATGCTGAGCGATACTTCACAGCAACTGCTTCTAGTCACTATTGAGAGTAGCTTCCTGCCACTGTTCCACTACATCCGGCACTGGTAGCATTTATGCCATTCTACTACCAAGCTTCCACGGAGCGGCAGGTGTGGGATGGTTGGATTGATGATAAAGATTAAGCCACCCAAGAGGTGGCACGGGCATGAATAGCCCGTAAGTTTGGTTGGACAAGCGTAGGGGTATATATATATATACTGCCCGCGGTCATTACTTTTACGGGCTCACCATAGTCCGTGCTACATGGACACTGTCCTGAGTAGCCAAATCTTTAACAACAACGGTCATTACTTCACGGGAGACATCTCCCGTCACGCAGGGTGCAGTCGCACCTCCACAGATCTCCAGTATCATCTATTGATATTGGTAATGGTTCAAAAGGGCCACCACTTACGGGCAATTCATGCCCGTGCCACCGCTTGGGTGGCTTAATCTTTATCAATCAATCGGTCATTACTTTACGGGCTATTCATGCCCGTGCCCCCTTTTGGGTGGCTTAATCTTTATCAATCGGTCATTACTGATCTTACGGGCTCACTGTAGCCCGTGCCACTTGGAAATTTTGTTTAGAGTAGCTGAATCTAAAACATTACTGACCATTACGGGCTATTCATGCCCATGCCACCTCTTGGGTGGCTTAATCTTCATCACTCAATTACTGACCAGCAGCACGTTATTTTTTTCCCATAACTTATTGATCCGGGGGACCTTTATCCAGAATCATCCAAGGGCTGGTATTATCCATTACACTATCACTGTTGAACTATGTTAATACTACACTGCTATCTTATGAAGTTTATTGGTGCTATTAGATTTATCCTAACGTCTATAGTTAGAGTTAGCCTCTCGTGAACCCAACATGCACGGTAAGCTATTGAAATTTCCTGAGAGAATAATTACACTAGGCATCTATGGGAGCCGGTCGGCCGAGCGGACAGCACACTGTACTTGTGGTCCTGGGTTCGATCCCAGACGCCGGCGAGAAACAATGGGCAAAGTTTCTTTCACCCTATGCCCCTGTTACCTAGCAGTAAAATAGGTACCTGGGTGTTAGTCAGCTGTCACGGGCTGCTTCCTGGGGGTGGAGGCCTGGTCGAGGACCGGGCCGCGGGGACACTAAAAAAGCCCCGAAATCATCTCAAGATAACCTCAAGAAGGCCATTACCAGGCATCAGGTCAAACATACCGTCTCTTCCTTCGGCGTGAGTGTTTCTGTAGTGCGTGTTACAGAGGAGATGTTGGTCGTCGTGTCCACCCGTGTGCTGGGCTCTTTCTCTCCACTCTCCTGCTCTGAAACTTCGACAAATTTATTTTTGCTCTTCTGCAGGGATTTTGCTTTAGCCCTGCTTTGAACTTCTTTGCTGTAGGCAAGGACGGAATCCAACTTATCAACATAAGGACAGTCCTGTGGAAGAAATATTGTATTAACATCCTCTGAAGTGGGCAGTTTTCACGTATTAGGTTCAGATTAATGTGCCTTTAACGAAATGCCAAGTGGATGGTATTGCTGGATAACAGAATTAAACCACCTACACTAACACTAAGGCAGGATTAAGACTTTCGTAGACCTCGGGTACCGCCAAGATATGGGGCCAAATTTGACAGCATATTCACTAACACAAGCAAGTCCCTACCATTTTGCTTTCATCTATGTCCTGAATATACCCGAATAAAATAAAAAGTAATCGAGTAAATCGATACTAAAAATCTAAAGAAATGGAAAACTATGACTAATAAAATATGTTTTACGTAGACCCTCCCACCATCTCTCGGCCCCTACGCCGTGTGTAATGGCTAATCCGGCACCAATAATCGATTCGGTCGTGTTGGCGGGGTCTCTAGGTCTTCCTCTAACACGACAAAATACCCTAACCCGGCAGGGCACCCAACCCCCACACATCAGTGTGCTCACCTTGCCCTGCTTGATGGGCTTCATGGCGCTGGGGTCGACGCCCTTCTCGGCCAGCAGGTCGCGACACAGCTCCAGGTACAGACTTTCTGGGTCGGGCAGCCTGGTGAAGACCCAGGAGAAGGCGGCGCGGAACCCCATGAAAGACATACAGGAGTGCACGCAGGCGTAGTTGTCGTAGTCTGTCCCCACCACCTGCAGCCGTCCCGGGAACCAAGCCAATGACGATAACGACTCGTTAACATTACACGCATTTGAAATTGAAATAAGTTTGAGGTAAAATACACACAAAGGGATGAGGTAGCTCAAGCTATTCTCACCCCGTTCAGTACATCGTGTTAATACATACATATAAACACATCACAAACAATAAACATTACCAAACATTGAGAGATAAACATCTACATTTCCTATTACACGCATGGTCAGTAGAAATCATAAGTACCGGTATATTATTTATAGAATAAATTATTCTTAGGTTCTGGTCAGTGAAAAAAAGATAGTGCATTCATTTGCGCACAACAACAGGAATAATTTGTGCTTATCCAGCAATCAATAACCGTAATTGATCAATTTAACACTGACACGCGGCCTAGAACAACCCTATTTAACGATGAGAAGAAAAACAATCCAAGGATAAAAAGGATATTTAGGGCAAAGCCGGCAAGCTGTAATGTAGAAAAACCATTAAGACAACCAGTCTAAAGCTATTAAGCATGTCAATTAATAATGACATACTTTTAGACTAGTATTTAAAGTGAGATTAAATGTTAAAGAGGACAATGAACAGCAAAGTTAGTTTAAGCAAATCCTAAGACTTAATTAGGGAACCATCAAGAGTTTGAAGATGCAAAATTAATAAATTAAAATAAGATCTCACTGAATACGCCGATTAAAAAATAAATTAAATGTTAAACTATGCATGAAGCTATTTTATTTATTTATTTATATACAAGAAGGTACATTGGGGGGTTAAGAGAGTACTTTATAATAATAATGATTTTACATTGTTGTAAAGCCACTAGCACGCATAGCGTTCCAGGGAAGTCCTTAGTCAAATAGATAATTTTAACTAGATCATTTCCAGTAAAATTGACAGATTTTTTACAGGGACATTGTAAGAAATTTTAAAGGTTGAACTCAAACCAGTTATTTGAGCAATTATCTGTTGCCACAAAACCAAGTTCTGTTATGTATACGTCGACTCAAAGAGCATAATTACCTTCATCAAAAACCGCTCAACTCTAATGAATACAGAAGTTTTAAGACTTATTATTCTGATTATCGTTACTATGTAAACCTGTTCACCTTTTCATCCCTCCATATTTGGAATGCTCTTTTAGAGAGCCAGAAAAATTTGACACGCAGAAATTGATGCCAAAATACCTATGTAGAAGCTTACTGCACAGACTAGGTTCCTTACACATATATAAACCCAACAATGGTAGCTACCATAAATAGCCAACCCACAACACTACCATAACTGACAGATGCAACCCATCACAGATCAACTTTAATTCAAGACTCCAAAGATTAGTTATGATGAGAATTGGATACCGTTATACCCCATTGTTACTTAAAAGTCAATGTCTTTCCCAGATACTTTCCTCGCCTCACATGAGAAAACGCTAATAGATTTCAATGAATTCAACCAGATAAGACGGTATAGACTTCAAAATATAGGAGCAAACTATATCAAGTTCCCACAAATTTATATACTTTGAATTGCTTAGTCTATATAGCCAAGAGAATGCGCCTTAAGTAAAAGCGGATGTGCATACAGTAAGGAGATGTAATACTGACGACATAGGGGGCGCTGGGTACACCTTCGGCGTCTACTGTGAGCACTCCGGGCTCACCCTCTGTGGGTCGCATCACAGAATTCTGACGCACTTTCCTCCCGTCAAGGTCCACGCCTCGCTCCACCACCGTCATCAGCTCACCTGCGATACCCAGAAACACAAGACAGATTTATTTCAATATCCGCATTAATGCAGCTACCCTAGACTGTATGTAGAGTGAGTGAGTGTACTCGCCTAATTGTACTTGAGGGGGTTGAGCTCTGGCTCTTTGGTCCCGCCTCTCAACCGTCAATCAACAGGTGTACAGGTTTCTGAGCCTATTGGGCTCTATCATATGTACACTTGAAACTGTGTATGGAGTCAGCCTCCACCACATCACTTCCCAATGCATTCCATTTGTCAACCACTCTAACACTAAAAAAGTTTTTTCTAATATCTCTGTGGCTCATTTGGGCACTCAATTTCCACCTGTGTCCCCTAGTGCGTGTGCCCCTTGTGTTAAATAGCCTGACTTTATCTACCCTATCAATTCCCTTGAGAATCTTTAATTTGGTGATCATGTCCCCCCTAACTCTTCTGTCTTCCAGCGAAGTCAAGTTTAATTCCCGTAGCCTCTCCTCGTAGCTCACACCTCTCAGCTCGGGTACTAGTCTGATGGCAAACCTTTGAACCTTTTCCAGTTTGGTCTTATCCTTGACTAGATATGGACTCCATGCTGGGGCTGCATACTCCAGGATTGGCCTGACATATGTGGTATACAAAGTTCTGAATGATTCCTTACACAAATTTCTGAATGCCGTTCTTATGTTGGCCAGCCTGGCATATGCCGCTGATGTTATCCTCTTGATATGGGCTGCAGGGGACAAGTCTGGCGTGACATCAACCCCAAGTATTTTTCTCTCTCTGACTCGTGAAGAATTTCATCTCCCAGATGATACCTAGTATCTGGCCTCCTGCTCCCTACGCCTATCTTCATTACATTACATTTGCTTGGGTTAAACTAACAGCCATTTGTTCGACCATTCCTTCAGCTTGTCTAGTTCTTCTTGAAGCCTCAAGCAGTCCTCCTCTGTCTTAATCCTTCTCATAATTTTGACATCAGCAAACATTGAGAGAAATGAATCTATACCCTCCGGGAGATCATTTACATATATCAGAAACAAGATAGGACCGAGTACAGAGCCCTGTGGGACTCCACTAGTGACTTCACGCCAATCCGAGGTCTCACCCCTCACCGTAACTCTCTGCTTCCTATTGCTTAGGTACTCCCTTATCCACTGAAGCACCTTACCAGCTACACCTGCCACGTAAGCCTCTTACGTGGTACTGTGTCAAAGGCTTTCCGATAATCCAAGAAGGTACGATTCATGTGAAAGCACACACAGCAGGAACTGGTTTGCGATCTCCCACTACATGACATTTGTTTAATATATGACATTTGTTTAATCTCCCACTACATTTATATGTTTAATATTTATAATATTATATGTATACCGTATATTTGTAATATTATGTATGTTATTTTGTTCAAACTTTTGTTCAAAAGAAAATGCAGTCCTCCCAGCCTTTTCTTTCTTGCTTAATCTTTTTCACCTGGTCGTAGAATTCTATTAAGCCAGTCAGGTAAGATTTACCCTCCTTGAATCCATGTTGTCGATTTGTCACGAAGTCCCTTCTCTCCAGACGTGTTACTAGGTTTTGTCTCACATCTTCTCCATCACCTTGCATGGTATACAAGTCAAGGACACTGGCCTGTAGTTCAGTGCCTCTTGCCTGTCACCCTTTTCGTATATTGGGACCACGTTCGCCGTCTTCCATATTTCTGGTAGGTCTCCCGATATGTGTGTGTGTAATGTGTGTGGTGTGGTGTGTGTGGTGTGGTGTGTCCTGAGTAGCTATGCCGCACAAACACGTCACCGTCTCACAGGACGGGTAGTCTTACGTGATCAGTAGCTTCACTGGTAAGGTCTAATGCATTTTGAGAATCTCAAGAACACGATAAGGAAGGAAACTATCACTGGAAAGCGTCAAGCCACAACGCCTATATAGCACTTGGGAGGGGTCAGGATAAGGATTTGGGACGAGACGAAGGGAAAGGAATGGTGCCCAATCACTTGGACGGTCGGGGATTGAACGCCGACCTACATGAAGAGAGAACCGTCGCTCTACCGTTCCAGCCTAAGTGAGAGGGGCAAGAAAGCAACAGTGGATGAAGTAATTACAAAGCTCCAGGGACCTGTCAGTCATGTAGTGGGAGATCGCAAACCAGTTCCTGCTGTGTGTGCTTTCACATGAAGCGCTGTTAGTTGTTTGAGTGTGTAGGTGCCGTTATTTGTGGCTCGAAATGTGGCATAGTTGCAGGCATGAAGATACATGTAGAAGGGAATGAAGTACAATAGCGCACTAGTCTAGGAAAATAATACCCCACTATTGTATATTTGTATATAATATACACTTTGATACACTATTGTATAGTGTAGCCTGTATTTTCTATCCCAACCCGGGATCCTGTTCATCAGGATCCCGGGTTGGGATCGAAATCTAGTCTACATTTCCTCATGTTTTCAGGTTATGTTAAATGCTACGAACAATTTATTTATTGCACATTTGTGAGTTAATGGTGTAGAAAATCGCAGGTTTGATATTAATGCAGGTGTGTGCCAGGGTTGTGTGAAGTTACCTTAGTTATTCAATATATACATGGATGGGGTCACCAGGGTGGTCAGAGGATCGAGTATACCTGAGGCTAGATTCACGAAGTTACGCAAACAATTACGAACCTGTACATCTTTTCTCAATCTTTGGAGGCTTTGTTTCCAATGGTTAAACAGTTAAGGAGCTTCGAAGCACCAGGAGAATGTTTATAACAATAACAACAGTTGATTGTCAAGTTTTCATTCTTGTAAACTGTTTAATAAATGTAACCAAAGCCGTCAAAGATTGAGGAAAGATGTACATGTTCGTAAGTACTTGCGTAACTGCTTCGTGAATCTGGCCCCTGGTGGTTTGGCCTAACGAGTAATACCAAAGTCGATTTTTATATATATGCAAACGACGGTTCTTTTCGGAGGAAATTAGGGAACTATGTAGACTAGTTGAAAACTGAAGTGGGCAAATGATACCAGGAAAATGTGGACATGTTATGGTGAAGAGAAATGTGTATGAAGCTGTGGAAGAGGTAGATCAGTTTAAGTAACTAATTTAGTATTGTTTAGAGATGAATTTGTGCAATGAAAGTCCGGATAGGACTCTGGAATGGATCCATGCAGAGGACCTGCATGAAATAGTGGTGCAGACTATGCATCGTTCAGAGTCGATAATTATAAACGTGGAAATTAAATCAAGAGGTACAGCGGTAAAGAACGACTCTGATAAGCATGTGTGGTAAGAATGCAGAAAATGATGTAACTAGCATGGAGACGAAGGGCAATAAACCGGAAGACTGAGGAGAGCATTTTAAATTCTTGATTCAGTATGTCAAAACTATGATATAGTAAATTGATTAGGTGTATGGAAGTGAATTTAGGTTATGAGGAGCAGTGGAAGGCCGAGAAGAAGATGGCGGACATTGTCAGCCAGTAGACAACACAGTATATAGTAGAGAACTATGTTGGTTAGCAGCTATTTTTAAGTAATACAATGTCTAATGAAATCGAGTTGCTGTTGTGGATGAGTGTAGTAGTGCTCTTTTGTCCATCATGCTGCATGTTGTATTAATGTAATGAAAGTTATATTTGTTTAATGTTTGGTCATTTGATGCCTAGCACCTTTTACTTTACACATGTCCCGGGATGATTGTCTCCCCACACCATGAAGGTGGGAACCAGGCAATAACCATGTGATTGGTTTTGGTGGGTGAGGTGTCGTGGTGGGGTGGGAGGTTATTGGGCAATGGTTATTATTGTTCGGTTTGTTGGTTAGGTGGGATACTCGTGTCTGCCAATTGTGCATAGTGGGCAGATACGAGCAGCTTCGTCTGTGATAACAGTTGGGCAATAAACAATTGGTTTCAGCAATTTCGTGCCTTCAGAGAGAACAGCACTATTTAGCAGGCATTAATTAACGAATTGCTTAATTGTTAAACTCAAAGCTTTATTGAGGGTATGAGAGAGAAGACACTGACCTGTCCATGTGTAGTTGGTCATCGAGCACGCAGCGACATCACTGTACTCGTTCGGCACATTTTCAATATTGAACCAAATCCCGGAGTACTGAAATATTATAAAAAAGTAATGTAGTAATGATAAATTAACTAAGACACCGAAATTAGGAAGTAGATTACGATTTAAAAAATATAATTAGTAATAAAAACAATCTATTTGTACTTAAGGGCTCTATAGTTGGATTCTCTCTCTCGTCACAATCTGGAATCCCACGTTCGAATCCTGGGCTGGACAGAAGTGGTTGGGCACGTTTAATTTCACCTAATGCCCCTATTTACATGGTGTAAATAAGCAACCCGTCCTCTTAAAAATAACGTCACTTTTGGCTCGTATGCGCGCTATGGCTAAATTTGGGCGTAATTTGAAATGAAATCTACTCACAAAAGTGACGTTCTGTTCCGTTTTCTATTTGAGTCGTCCGGCGTACGCGCAGAGGTTATAAGAGGACACTTTAAATTAACGTTTTTCATAACGTTTTGGAACTTTATGAGAATTTCCTGCCCACCTAACCTATCAGAGGACCCTTAACTTACTGTTGTTGAAAAAAAAAATCCCAAATTTATTTTCATATTTTTTTTATTTTCAAATTACGTCCAAATTCGGCCATACGGGCAAACGGCCAAAAGCGACGTTATTTTTAAGAGGACAGGTTGCAACAAGTATAGTCGCCTGTAGTATAAGTAAGTGGCAATTTATATAAATTAAATAATTGCTTTACTGAAAAAGGTAGTTTACCTGTAAGTTGTTTTAACATTTATTCAGCGACTATCTTGAGGTTATCTTGAGATGATTTCGGGGCTTTAGTGTCCCCGCGGCCCGGTCCTCGACCAGGCCTCCACCCCCAGGAAGCAGCCCGTGACAGCTGACTAACTCCCAGGTACCTATTTACTGCTAGGTAACAGGGGCATTCAGAGTGAAAGAAACTTTGCCCATTTGTTTCTGCCTCGTGCGGGAATCGAACCCGCGCCACAGAATTACGAGTCCTGCGTGCTATCCACCAGGCTACGAGGCCCCCCTACTATACTCTACTATATATTAAATTCTGTGAAATTTTCCACAAAAGTCTATTTGGAAGCTTTAATATATTGCCTATGGGAAGGGTCAACCATGTAAATAAAAAAATTAGATTTTTACAGCCTTGTTCATTCGAGAAATTTTAAATATAAATTAATAGCACTTTCAGATGGGGAAGGACCTGCCGTGTTCTTCCCATACCACACCTGCTTTGAAGGCAAGTGCGCAACATTACCGGGGAGTCTACTTTCACTGCACTTAAAAACTCTCTAGTTCATGTATTTAGCTTCATCTAGTTTTCTATTGCTTTGGAAAGGAAAAAAATGTAACAATTCATTGTGTCGAGGGACTGACAGCTAGTATACAGTACATGTTAGGCCTATATGTAGGTCCCTCTCCCCCCCCCCCCTCTTGGACAAATTACTGACCCTCCCCAGGATGCAACGCAAAATGCTAGCTCCTGGGTACACATTTGCTACTGGGTAAACAAGGCATTAGGCGATAGAAAACTATCCCAAACATTTCTGTCCCGCCTAGGATTAGAACCGAACTCTAAAGTGTGGGTCAAGAACGAACCCCACTGTACTACCGGGACCCCATTAACTCGTTTATTTTATAAAGTAGCAAAATTGTTGACTGAGCTACAACAAGGTAATGTCAAAGGCCTCCCATCTGCTGGATATTAATAAAAAAAAGTCGATTCATGGTTTAATTAGCCGGTCGTGGTGAAGTATACGCGTCAAGTTTCGCTAATTAAATTTTGTGTAACTTTTCACTGCGGAATTAAGAACAATTTACATTAGTAATTTTAATGTTTCTCACTTTAAAAAAGTAATTTGTTTACAAAAATTTCTGTAATTGAAGCATCGATATTAATATTTAACCCCATGTAAGGAGTCTTCACATTAGCAATGTCTTACTTGACAACCTCAATAATTATAGTGCTACAGGTATCTGGGTGTGTCACGTCTCTAATTACGCTTCTGCAATTGCAGCCTAAATCAGATACTGTACATTCTCCTGCGGAATTTGTAAACGTGTACTTAAGAAGCAAAAAAATTTAAGTTTCAAAATAACTTTAACGTGTCGCTCAGATTACTAGTGTACAAGATAATGAGTGTTGGGGCCACCTGTTGAAGTTTGCTTGGTTGTGGTTGTAGTTCCTGGTAACATTTTACAGACCTACTTTCCCTTGCTCAACAGTTAAGTAGGAATTACTCTGCGCATAACTTGGTTTACCAGATACAAGTAAATTACTGGCGCTCGTTCGTCCTCACGAACACCTCAGCCCAACACGCCACCCGCGCTCTCCTCACCACCACAACCACACACTGTCACACCCAAGCAACCACAAACTGCCATCTTGCAACGCTGTTGAGAACACTGCACCTCCTCCATTTCCCCACAGCACTGCATCCCCCACTTTTCCATCCTCACTCCCCCCTCCCCAAAACCACCTCTCCTTTCCAAACCTCACTCAGCCCAGCCACTCTAGTTGAACGGTAGAGCGACGGTCTTGCTTCATGCAGGTCGGCGTTCAATCCTCGACCGTCTAAGTGGTTGGGCACCATTACCTTTCCCCCATCCCAAATCCTTAGCCTGACTCCGTCCAAGTGCTATAGTCTTAATGGCTTGGCGCATTTCCCCTGATAATTCCCTCCCTCCAACCTCACTCCCCACAAACACGGCACCCATTCCAAGACCCCCCCCCCAACTCTTTCCAAGATCCCCCCCTACAACACTGCACCCCCTTCCTAGATCCCCCCTACAAACACTGCACCCATTCAAAGAGCCCCCCTCCCATAAACACTGGGCCCCTTCCTTTGTCTATACAACGCTCCACTCTAAACCACAATAATAACACACATTTAATCTAGAGCGTGAATCTTGCCCTAGTCATTTTACACTGAAGTGTAACATGCTTGAAGCAGTGGACAGTGGTAAAAATTTGATTATTACCTTTACGACTGTAAAAGAAGAGTAATAGACTGAACGTGGGATCGGAACACACTTGTACTTGGGACCTATGTTATTTACGTTTCTTTAAGTAAATAATGAGTAAAGGATGAAAATATATTAAACACATATTCAACTGTGTAATTGCCGATTGACCTCTTAGTACGCTTAAATTTGAACGGTGAAGTGTAAATTTAAATATTTTTTTTGGCTAGTAGAGTGACGGCTCTGTGTCGATATTGTTAAATATTAAAATCGACTAGTTCTGAGGTGACTAGAACCCACGACCGAGAGAATCCCAGCCATGACTAGCCACTGGACAACCCTGATCTGGGCGATTAGGGGTCGTACGTAGAACTTTAGACCAACTTCAGTAGGGGCCTCCAAGTCTGCCTGCGATTTCAGTAAAAATCCGGTTGTATGACTTAAGTCAAGGTGGTGCATTGCTTAGCGTTAGTGGGTGGGAAAATCTGTCGCGGGTTAGAGTCACCTCAGAGCTAGAGTTGATTTTTCTCTTCGATATACATCACGTTAGTGTCATTTCTCTGCAACTGGTAAATGTTAAATCAGCAATAACAATACTTTAACAGTTTCATACGAACAAGCGTTAATAACATACTGCAAAAAGCATTAGAAAAATTATTGCCAGCGATCTTTGTCATAAAACGCAGGAAAGGAAACGTCCAGGTTCTAAGCTGTAACCTTAAGCTATTTCTCTGTTAGCCTTATTGCCATTAGTTTGCTTGTATAGGCGAGAACACACTGATCACATACGGTTATTGTGCTATTAGTACTTTTACACGACAGGACTAACTTTTCTCATTATGCATCATGGATGTGTTTATAGTAAATTAATGGCGAATCCATTGCCGTCTAAATTCCTCTTTAGGTTAATTTCGACCGACAAATCCTTAAATCATTTAACTTTGTTTCTCATTTTTAAGATTACGTTTAGTTTGAATTAGTCTCTGATGCAAGGTTGCTTTCCTGATTGTGCCACATGTTCTGGCAATACCTTTTATCTTTACAAGTACCGTGAATAGTCCGAGTGTGGAACAAAATCTTCATGCTATTATGCTGTTGAGAATTCTGTCGTAGTCGGTAATAAATGGATATTACAACATTCATGTGGTCTATCAACGGTCAAGTTTGCTTCAAGTGACTTTTAGGAAGTGCTTAAAAAGGTATACAAAATGATTAAAAATACATGTTCTAGACAACATTGAAAACAATTATATTCTGCTTACCCTCTCAAAATTAAATTCCGGATCGACGGTTAGGCTGGCGCAGTCTCCGAACTCAAGAAATTTGGGAATACCAAAGGCATCAGTGTTAGGGACGGGAAGCAGCGCCAGTACGCACGCCCACACGCCCAAATGCACCCATCCAGGTGCTGCCACGCCCATCTTTAGTAACTGATCTGCAAAATAGGTGATTTTTATACATTTCTATAATCAGATTCAGTCACATGTGTTTATTACTTTTAGTTTTGTGATGTCAGTGCACAAATGGCAGGGACAGCCACTGGAACCAACAGATGATTAACTGGTTCAGTGATGGGGTCCTGTGGTTCCTGACAACGTTATTGAAGATAAGAACATAAGAACAAAGGCAACTGCAGAAGGCCTATTGGCCCATACGAGGCAGCTCCTATCTATAACCACCCAATCCCATTGGGTGGTTACATGTTGACCACAACACAAACATCAAATTTATGAAGGCAACTTAGATAAATCAAGAACACTATTGCAAATCTTGTGTTCACTCGTGTTCATCGTTTGCATCTTGGCGCTTTACGGCAACCACGAGAACATATCGAGACGTTCTCGTGCATTATATGGAAAAAAGCTCGCTGGTGTCCCTTACACTCTTGAATTATTTCCTCAGTCTACGTTATTCCTATTCAGCAAAATCATATTTAGTTTTTCAATAAAAACTTAATTTTGCCCGAAATTTCAAACCAAGTTTGCTAGTGCTCGCGCAGTTTTTTAACCCAAGATGCCATTAATAAAGTATTTGCGAACTATTATTTTCTATATTCCGTTTAGTATTACTTTAAATACATTTATTTTCAATTTTCCACTAAAGATACAGCAACAGTACTTTAATTACGACAATTTGTATGGTTCCTGCAGTGACCATTATACAGCACGTTGAACCATAGTGGGTATTCAGACTATCCTTATATTACACGACTATGGATAAGAGTTGGATTTGCAAATTCCTTCCACAAAGTGTTTAAAAGCCGATCGGATCAATATCAAATTTAAGTGCATTTTTTTTGTTTCTTAACTGTAAAGGGTATGTAAAGGATATTATATTATAATCATCGGAGCACGGAGCACAACTAAACGAACCTGATAGCTATCAGATGCTGGCTGGTTGGTTTCCCCCATTAGACTGTACATGAGAGGGAATAATTAGATTACAATTTAAATCTGTTGCCGAGAGATTGCATTTCACTTTAAAAACTGTTGGCGAGAGGCGATACAAATATCTACGTTGACCAGACCACACACTAGAAGGTGAAGGGACGACGACGTTTCTGTTCCTCCTGGACCATTCTCAAGTCGATTGTGGTCCAGGACGGACCGAAACGTCGTCGTCCCTTCACCTTCTAGTGTGTGGTCTGGTCAACTTTAGCCACGTTATTGTGACTCATCGCCTGCAAATATCTACGTCATTACATAAGAGGCGTGAGGTAAACTGGTATCCCTGCTTCACTATGATGGTGCAGTGCCCGAGCGTCCATATTCAGTTACCTGATCTACTTCATTATTCGCTTGGTCGCCGACAGTGTGAATATACATGTATATACACGTTAGGCTTATATTAGGTACCCCGGTGGTTTAACTATTGACCCTTCCCAGGATGTAACTCCACAATAGTTCCCCATCTCCCGGGTACCTATTTACTGCTAGGTGAACAGAACGTTCCCAACCATTTCCGTCTCACCAGGGTATCGTATACGGGGAAACACTGATTGCGAGTCTAGAACAAAGCTAATTGTACTACAGGATCTAACAAGATCTAGACCATTTCCTCGTACTAGTATAACTGTGCCTAACCGCCATTTAGGAAGCCATATTTTAAACTATTATCTCTTACAAGAATCGCGTACGCCAGCTGGAACGCATCTCAAAGCATCAAGAATATATTTTGCAACAAGATGAGCTGTATACATTTCCTTGAAATGATCACCTCTGTAGTCCTTGCACTATTAGGACAACATATCCAGCTTCTAGTTACATTAGTATTAGAGAATTTACTTTGGTATATTTGCTGGTTGGTCAGTAAACTGTTGTGATGGTATGAACACTATTACAGTGGTCCTGACGATGTTTTTAAGGCAGCCAGGAGAGTAAGGAGACGAGTACTTTAGGTAAAGGTGCAGCGAACACAAACCTTAGGGAACCTCTCATGTCAAATTAGTTCATATATTTTTGGTACAATATATTTTTACGAACAATAGATTGTAGTCTTTTCAGTTTTCATAATGAAAATATAACGTCATTGGACAGTAATTACAGGAGGAATTAAGACAGGTTACTATATACCCAATGGGCACAATATCCAAGACAAGATTACAATTTATCAAATTGTAATCAAAGATTACAACGTTAATTCAACGTTGAATTAACATCACGAGCCATAATGTTCGACAACCGGATGCTTTTCATCCATTGCTGCTTTTCAAAATCCATTTAGAAAAAATCTTCGGGAAAATGTAAATACCTTTGACAAGCCGCCAGCTTCCTGTTCCTGTCGAGGTTCATTATAACTCAAGAACCATTGTCTAAATTTGATTACGTTAGAACTTTTAAAATGGTTAAATTTAGACAAGAGCAAATGCCGTTGAGGCTTTTGTTCCACACGAAATTTTCCCTTAAAGGTACAAGTTTTCGTAAAGGTAACTAGATCCTTTTATTTTCCACGATTAATGCTTATGGATTCAAACCAAACACTTTAATTTTACTTTTTTCATCGGGCAGCAAAGCTAATACCAAATATCAATCGGTACGAAATTTCATTTGACAAAAAAAAAAAAAAAAAAAATCCAATTCTTTTGTACTTTATAACCCTGGATATTTTGAGGCAGTTACTGCAGGTATACCTGTTAAGTAGAGGTTGGCCAGAAAGTTGTCATGGGCTGAATAACTGCTCGAGGTTGATAGTATTTGCCTAGTCCTCATTACGTGGAGTCATTAGATAATTCAAGCCCTCCAAAAAGTGAATTACCTATATCCGCTATGAACTATGTATACAGTGTGGATTGTTGTACCCAAAAAAATTTTTTGCACTATTGGAATAATATAAAAGGCATGTCAAAAGGTGGATCAATACCTATAAACTTGATCTTGTTCTAAGTAAGCAATCCTATGCCCAATGCATATCATGATATATACATACAATATAGGTGCTATATTGGCCTCAAGGTCTGGATTCGGTAGTTTCCTTTCTCGGATCCTTAACGAAACTAACATTAGAAATTGAATCATTTAGGTGCGGTAGTTCATATTTTATACTTCCATAAATAGTATTGATTCGTAGTCATTTTTGAATAGCAGCTGGTGATATTCAATGTGCTGTAAAATGCTGATAATGTGCTGAACTTAAACCTATCTTACTTATACCCTGTAGTCTTGAGAGAGATTGTAGGTGAACAATCTTAACTCTTCCGTAATCACAATTTCTTAGACTTACACGTAGAAGTAACACATCTGCATTATTTACGTAGACAGAGTAGTATGAAATAAAATCAAACCTACGCTGGGGTAGGTGTTTACAGTGGTATGGCGACCGGACTGTCGCACCACTTACCGAAAGGTCAACTACACACAAGGAATGCGAGTTCTCATGTCCGATCTTTTCTCGAACTGTGCTTCACTCAATTCCTATGCTCAAAGTACGTCTCTGAAAATGCTTCACCCACGCAATTTAAATTTAAATACTTGCCGACATAACCAAAGCACCTATGTTCAAACCCAAATTAAATAATAATAATAATAATTTTAATCTGAGGCAATTCAGTTTTTAATTACACCATATGAGTTAATAACGTTTGCGCCCTTAGGGAGGGGCAGCCGCTAAATTGCTGCATACCGACAGTTGTAGCGGCAGCTCTCCTCAGGCTATACTCGTCCAAGCTGCACACATCACCAAAAGGTGAATTCCTAAATATTTTCGCACTGTAATAAAAAACGGTATTTCATCAGCTATAGTTATTAACATTGTTGTATATTATTGTTTTTGTATAGGATACGTTAAGTTACGAGTTTTGGTTCTTTTGGAAATTATTTATGCTGCAGCCTCAGGCTAGGCTCGTTAAGGCGGTTACTAACCCCAAAGACGCTTTCATAAGTTTTAACGTACTGCGTATTGAAAACTGTTTTCAAATATAAATTATTATATATTAAAATTTCATGTATAACTAGCCAAAGGTTACATTAGGTTACTTTAGGTGTTAAGGTTCTGTTGGCAATTATTTTTGTTTGCAGTATGTTGACGAAGCATCAATCAAGTGCGATACGACAACGTGTTCTCAAGCCAGGCTCGTTAAAACGGCGGCGGTGAATCCCCCCCTTCCCCAATATGCATTCATTAATTTTAAAATACTGCGTATTAAAAATAGGTAATTTGTTCTCATATATAAGTTAATATATTAAAATTATGTGTACAGTTAGACATAGGTTAGGTTCTGTTGGTAATTATTTGTATTTGTAGTACGTGGGCGAAGCATTTATCCGTCCTCAGACAAAGTCCATTCCATCCAGCGGTCGACCCCAAAGACGCATTCATCAATTTTAACATGCTGTTCATTCAAAACAGAAATTTTATAAAATATAAATTATATTATTTTATATTAGAATATTGTACACATTTAGACACTGGTTAGGTTAGATTACGTGTTTAGGTTCTGTTGGTGATTATTTGTATTTGTAGTATGTGAGTGAAGCATTTACAGCGTTGGTTCGAAAAAAAGTCGTCAACGAAGCACTTTTTCCGGAAATGTTCGGACGTCATCAGTTGTGAGTCGTGTGTAAATCTTTTTTTATTCATAAACAGGGAGTTCATGATTTAATTTCTATATGTACGTGAACTTTCTTATTTTTTTTTGTCTACTGATTGACACACATTCCCTATAAATCTCCTGTCTTTGTGTAGCACAGTTGGCCAGGTCATCAGCCGGCTCGTTAGGCACTACAACAGGAAAATAAATTATCATAAACTTCATATTAACCACATTTGTCGTTATCTCTCTTTTTCTTATACAATCCTCAGCAATGAACATGCAAACGCAACTTCTGATTAATGAATCAATTGTTCCCTCGACGATATTATGGGTTATTCATGCCCTTGCCACCTCTTAGGTGGCTTAATCTTTATATTTTTTTTTTTTATTTTTACATGCAAGCATGC